ACCCACTTCCCAGCGGCCAGGAGCTCTCCACCCACCTCCCAGGCCCTCCCACAGCCCCTCCCAGAGCTCCGGATGTGCTGCTGCGCCCCGGGCTCACCCGAGCTGCTCTGCCCTTCCCCCCGGCTGAACTCGCCGAGGCTGGCAGGGTCGGGGCTCTGCAGGGCCAGGCGGGGCACGGCCGAGCCCTCCACCTCGGGCAGGGAGGACGGCTGCCCGTTGGTGTCGATGTAGATGCTGGGGGGGCTCACGCCGGGCTGCAGGTGCATGAAGGACTGCTTGGTGGCACCGGGGAAGAACAGGTCTGTGGGGACAGAGGAGCCAGACTCAGCCGCTGCCACCGCGGCACCGGGGTGGCTCATGTGTCCCCCAACAAGCCCCCCACCCCCAGCAGAAGGGAACCCGGGGGAGCGACGCTGCGTGGGGGACACGGTTCCTCCCACCTGGCCAGTCCATCCCTGCACCCACCCTCACCCCCTCCAGGACCGTCCTGGATTTTGGCAGCCCCCAAAGATCCCGTAGGATTCCTTCCTTCCTTTAGCCCACGGACGGGCACCTGGCTCAGAGCCTGACCCCGAGGGAGGTGACCCCCAGGCTGCCCACCCGTCCCCACTGAGACAGGAGGGGCTGAGCTGGAAGCAAAGCGCAAAAAAAGCAGCAGGGACAACTGATCCTGGTGGCCTCTGGGGACATAACAAAGCTGGACACATCCCTTTTGTGGAAATGAATTGAGGGGGGAGGGTATTTGCCTCCTGGTGGGTGACAATGCCCAGTCAGAGCGAACACACAGGCCCAGCTGCAAGGACCAGCAGCTTCTAGGGCTCGTGGACCCAGAAAAGATCTGTTCCCACAAGGTTTGGGGTGTTCCCGTTGATCCCAGGTTACTTCCATGGTGGATTTCTAATTCCAGCACATGCAGCTTCCAACCCTGGTGGTTTGCTACTTGGCCACAACAGGACCAGGGCCTGCTGGATGCTGCAATCCCAACACTAACCCCAAACTCTCCTTCCACAATCTGTGCTGAAAAACACCCGGCAGAGCCCGGAGTGACCCGAGCTCCCCGGGCCGGATGTCACTGGGAGAGCTCAGGTGGGAACCCAGCAGGGGACTCTGCTGCTCCAACTCTCCCCCGAGAACCACCACGACTGACCTGGGTCCAGGATGATCTCGGGCTCCGAGTCGTGGCTGGCCTGCAGGAAGGGGGAAGCCACCATCTTCTCCAGGGGCGTGAGGCGCGGCTTGTGGAGGGGCCCGCCGGCGCGGTTCATGGGCAGGTGCTTCTTGGAGGTGATCTTCTTCTTGACGTCCAGCCGCAGGTCGCGCCACTTGTGCTTCAGGTCGTCGATGGAGCGCTCGGTGTATCCCAGGAAGTTGACGCGGCTTTGGATCTGGGTCCAGAGCTGCTTCCGCCGCACGGGGTGAGCCCGCAGGGCCTCGGACCCGTACAGGGCGCTGAAATGCCGCACCACATTCCAGACCAACGTCTCAGTCTCGTCATTGGAGAAGTTGGCCTTCCTCTTCCGGCCAGACGCTGGCATCGCCTGCGAGGCTGCGGCAGAGGTGGAAGGGGCACAATTGAACCTCGGTCCCCACTCCTCTCTGTCAGCTCCTGGGGGGAACATGGGGCTGCGGGAGCCCGAGGGAGCCGCGGAGGGGGGAGA